TCACTTCTGTATTCTTACTTATATGAACGTAGGCAATCTGTAATCATCGATGGTCACTTCTCATCACTGTTGCAGATTAAGTATGGCGTGCCACAAGGTAGCATTTTGGGTCCGTTGCTCTTTAATATTTATATCAATGATCTTGTGAATATTTCCGAAAATGTCAAATTTGTCTTGTATGCCGACGACACCAGTCTGTTCCTCAGTGACGCGGATGCGGATAACCTAATAACCAAAGGAAATTTAATTTTGTCTAGATTTTTTTTGTGGTCGCGAATAAATGGCCTATATATTAATGATACAAAAACAAAGGCAATTTTATTTAAACCGTCCAATAAACAGGTAAATATAAATGAAACTCTCCATTTTCAATCCACGCCGATTGAATTAGTGAAAGAACATAAAACATTAGGTATTATATTTTCAGATAACTTACAGTGGGATAAACACATAAACCAGGTCGTCAGCAAATTATGCAAAATTGTAGGTGTGCTTGCACGTTGTCGAGCCATTCTCCCCGAAAAAATAAAACTACAAATATATCATGCATTATTTAAATCCCAAATATCCTATTGCCATCTCGTTTGGGGCACGACCACAAGGACAAATCTGAACAGAATATTATTACTACAAAAAAAAGTTTTGCGCTTTGTTGGAAACGTTCATTTCTTAGCCCACACAGAGGCTCTATTTTCACAATACAAAATTATAAATATACATCGTTTTTATGAGTACCTTTTGACTCGATCATTTCTTTTTTCTTCCCCTGAATCTATTAATTTTCTGAAACAGACATCGGGATTAATCAAAAACATACCCACCATCTGCACCCGCTACTCCGAGGAATGGAAAGTGTTTCCGTTTCGCACGAACTACAGTTACCAGTCTTTAAAACATAATCTACCCTCATTGCTAAACAAATATTGCGTAGATGACGTGGACATCTACAATATAAACCCTAAGTCATTGTACTTACTTTTTGTATAGAGCTGTTTTCGTTAACCTGTGAAACCTAGGTCTCTTTTATATATGTATTTTACGTATTGCTGTAATCTCTGCAGTTATTTTTGTATCGCCATAGCTGTCTGCCAAGTGCACGGGGCCCGGACCCCGTCAAGTCAACATTTGTTGACTTTTTGTCCGTGGCTCCGGCGTCTGTAACCCATACGGATGCAAAAATAAAAATTATTATTAAATTATTATTATTATGGTGATGCACTGGTTTTTGACGATCGTGTACCGAAGCAATTCAGTGAAATTACCCGCTGCAACAGAGGCCAGCAAATCTCTCGTGTCGCCTGCCACCAACGCAAAGCGGAGTGTAATACTTCAGAAATGGCTTTCATCATTGCAATGCGACACTGAGGCGACGCGAACATTTTCATAATTATATCTCAAGGTTGCTTACGAAAAAGTATTTAATTACTTTTAAGAAAACATTTAGCCTCATGTGGAGTCTCTGTGCACTAGTCCCTAGCAACGGTTTGTACGGACCCAGACTCCATGTTGTAACGTAGTCAGTTACGGGGTCAATTATTTCAAGGCGCTTTTCAAGAAACTCTCGGCGTTCCATACGTTCGTATGAAACTGCTCACTACATATATTCATAAATATACACACACACACACACGCATATATATGTATATATATATATATATATATATATATATATATAGGAGAGGGTGAGAAATCATGGTGTAAGGCGCAAAAAAGAACGGACAGAGGAGAGAAAACGGAGATACAGGCGCCACTCACAACTATATCTTAAAAGTGCAGAAAGAAAGGAAAACATACATCGCCATCTTCATCACGTCCTCGCATGCGCTTAGCCATTCGATATACGCTTCATCTTCCATTTACAAAAACTTGTTAAACAATCTAATCTCGGCGTTATAGAGTGCAATAGATGTGTCACTTACGCATTGTGTACCCTTTTTTCTGATAAAATACGCCTCCAATAACTCGCGCATTTTTGGCCCTTGCCTTTGCCCAGAATCGCTGTCTCAGAAAAACCCAGATATGCTGCACTGTTCAGGCAAATGGGCCCCATTATTCCTCTTTAAATTTCTCGCGTGCTCCCTTAGTCGGTCGTTCGCACATCTGCCCGTCTGTCCGACGTAGGACTTACCACACCTAAGGGGGATTTCATAAACCAGCGCCATGACACAATCAACATATGACATGGCATGTTTGGTGGAGCAGCCTCGCTTCTTACCGCTGCCACAGGTAATGCGAGAGCAGAGTTGGCCGCGTTTTCTCGGTGCTGAGAACACGAGCGGCACTCCCGAGCGGTTCGCCACCTTCTTGAGGTTGTGCGACATGCTGTGCGCATACAGTACCACCTCAGGTCTCAATTTGCACCACGCCGTTTTCGCCTTTGCCGTCGTGGTTGGACTTTTGCTTTTTGAAGAATGCCTTCTGCCACATTCGTCGCCACCTTCTCAGGGTAGCCCGCTGACAATTGTCTTGTCACCTGGTTCTTAAAGCTCGTCTATATCCGGTGTGAGCACGACGTTCTAAGAGCCGACTTAGGCATAAAATAGCGATACCTCCTTAGACAGCGCAAGAGTTCCTTTTGGGACCGCGGTGCGTACATCCAACACGTGTGTCCTTCTAGAACCTTAAAACTCAAACCTAAAAACTGGAAACTACCCTGCTCAGGCAGTTCATGGTGAAAGTTAATCCTTTCCTATGGTGTCTAAAAGCCTCCAAAACTGAGTTCATGTCAGAAGGTAATAATTGAATTTATTGCATTGAAGCTAGAGAAAGGTAAAGAGAAAGAGAGCTGGCCAAAAATTCGGCAAGGAGCGAGGATCGAACCCGCGACCTTCGCGTGCCCAGTGCCACGAATTAAACGATTAGATCATCAATCCCACCGGTTTCGGCGGACTCAATTTTTGACCAGCTCTTTGTGCACAGTTAGTTTCGGATTCGCTTAACTGGGTAGGCGAGAGCCGTTGCTGATATAAGACCCATACTAGTTCCGAATTGCGGCAGAGACCTGGCACGTCATTTCAGCTTGCAAATGTCGGAAAGCATCTATCTTCCAATATATCTAGGGAACCACTCCTCCCCATACGGACAGACTGCACCATGTATTTAACGGCAATGTGTGAAGATTGACACGTGTAGTCGTACTGATACTCTGAACGAAGAGGGAAGGAGTGGTTCTTTAAATCTGTGCTTCCCCTAATAACTTACGTGTGCGCGTGGTAGTGGTAGATAGTGATGTTGACGCCTCGTTCATTTTCTGCAATCTATTATCATTCTGCTGCGATGACCTGAACTAGGCATTTCTCAAGACGTGGCTTTGTGTATTATTAATTTAAAACAAATGAAGCAGGAGATATTAGTGAGGAAGAAAGTAATTTCATTACACTACACGAAAGTAATATTTACTTTTGTTTTTATTTACAAGTTACCACACGTTTGACTTGGTCGGTCAGCTGCTTTATCACTTCCCACAGTCGTGGCATCCCTGTTCCTAATATTATCGTGACAACTGTCGCAAATCAAAAATGCGGTACGAAACAATATATATATAATTGAAAAGAATGTTTTGTCGCGATTTCAACAGGACATTTCCGGGTCAGGAGCATAGGAGACAGCGTGCATAACCGAAAGGCAGCATTAAAATTCCAGTTTGGTCTAGTCGATCCATTATCACCGTTCCAAGCGCCAAAACTACTCAAGGACAATACGAATGGGGACAAACACAGGGCGCCCTGTTTTCGACACCTGCCTTCTTGTTTTTGTGAAGTTTCGGCGCTTTGAACATGGTAACCGATAGGCCACTCACGCTGAAGAAATCCGCGCTCCTAAGACAGCTATAAAAATGGCGTTAATAACTGCAATGGGTCCATTCACTTTTCTTTCATGTTAATCGACTACGACCTTTAACGGTGGAGGCATTACTGGCAGCTCCTAAAGCACACGGAGGCCGTTCTTTTCACCGCTATATTGAATCTCTTCGCGCTTTTCCTTATGGTGTAATCGCACTTATTTTTTGTCAAGGCGACGAGATCTCGACAGCCGTGCCGCGGTCAGGAAACCTCCCCGAGGAGTTGTATTGCACCGGATAGCTTTCTCATCTACAGCTAAGGTACCATACGCCCAATGAGGCTGACCAACTGCCGGCCGTATGAACGTGCAGACAACATTATTATATCCCGTGTCTCTCGCCCGCTTCTCATCTATATGCGGCAGCTTGTAGTTATCGCGTCATAGGCCCTGTCAACTATTTTTTGGTGCCTCTGTCCCATGGTGTCGTAAGATCGCGTGGATAGTTGAACATTCGGAAGTCAACTCTTCCCTGACCGTGTGTCGTGACCTTTCCTCTCCTTGTGACGACAAGTGAAGGAATTTAACGCATCTACAGAAACCCTCTGTGTGTATCGCTCAGATATCACTCAGAGAAAACTCTCTTTAGACGAATGTATGCAAAGCGCTTCGGAGAGGCTTGGGGCGTGTCCGCAGATGGTGGCGCGTGCCTTCGCATTGTGGTTCAGATCGCACGGTCCGGTATTCAAATCCTGCCGAGCCGCGTGGGAAATGTCGTTTCTTACAATTAATTACCTACGTTGAATCGTGACCAAATAACCCCTCTGTTTGCATGCGTTGCATGATGTGTGGTGCGTATACTCTACACAGCCTCGATCCGCGTGTACAGATTTCCGTTACACTCGAGTGTAACCTTTTCTGCGTAAAGTGCACTCAAATGCAGATTCCTTTTTAATATAGTCTTAACATGATTGATTATTTCTTACCGTCATCGAAGAGTACTCACACCAAAGAACTGTGTTTTATATCCCTTCAGTAGGACACTCCCATTTAAGGCTTGCAAAGGCAACATTTATAATTTTTACTCTTGAATGCGAGTTCCAGGTTTGACGTATCTTCAGCTATTAAAGCCTTATTTTTGTTTCTTTTGATGGCATATCTAATCTAGTAGAATAAATATTTGTAACCCCACAAGTATGGGCTGCAGCGGAGACACTGACCATCTCCCTGAAGTGTTCGTAGCTTGAGGCTATCCTCCAAAGAGCTCCCGTAGACTTGCGAGCCATCCACGAATGAAGTAAGGGAGTCGATCTGCTGCCGGGGACCTGCACATAGACACAAATTAGATAATAACACTTAAGAATGCATTAGGATAAATTTTGATAAGCACATGTCGCTGAATATCTGAAGAATTTGGAATGGCCACAACATTTGGGTTGTCCAACTTTTGAACCCCAGCCAGTAAATGTTAGCATCCAAGCAACCCCGCCTTTAGTTTTTGAGTAGTTACTGTCTTGACATTAAAAGACAGCAGGCAATAAATGGCATTTGACTCGTGAACTGCCCTTGTACCACGCGAATCAGTGAATGCTCGGGAGGCTGTAGATGAAAGGTGAGGACTCTTAAATGGTAAAATAAAATTTCTATTCAACTAACACCCACGTTAAACTACTGAGAATGAGTCCTAGAAAAGAAAAGCAAATTAAACGTTTGTGTTCAGACAGCGTAAAGGCGATCTCTTTTGGAGGTGTAGCGACACAATTACCTTGTATTTGAGACATTTTGCACTGCAGCATGGCTGCTAGCATGGGTCTTTAACGTATATCGTGCATGCAAATGTATTCCAAAAGCCGGGAGAAATAACAATTCAAAGATTTTTACTCCGACTTAACCAACCAAGGTGAAGATCTAGAAAGCAACAAGCGCACCAGCTTCTACACTCAAAAACAGTCCCGTTTGCTTGATGATCGCTTGCTGCGTATCAACGATGTGCGAGCTGTGCACAATTTCTCATCCAAGAAACTGTCTTAAGACCACTTGAGCTTATTATGGAAGGGCCTGAATTTTGCTGTAGCTTTCAGAAGAGTTCCGATATGGGATATTACTGCGAAGGTTGAAGAGAGGTTGCTTCAGATTAGAGATATGCCTGATGTCACTTTGGCACGAAACCGCATAGTCAGAGTCCTGTCCAACGCTAGGAACACTCGTACAAACATGAGTTCTTGTGAACGCGCGGAGTTGAGTGATCTGAAAATGAACAGATACATCGTGATCACATTCGCTGATAAATTTGAAGGCACTGTTTTGTTATACCGGAAAGATTATGATGCAAAGATGCAGACAATTTTAAAATACCTTTTGAATTTTGTCGCTTAGAGATGTAATCCCAGGGCGACGTCCGAAAGGCAACTTGTCGGGCTTTGGCGGTCGTTAAAGACAAAAGGACGTCTCGATCAGGCGTTTTATCGCCAGCTTTATTCGTCGGGCGGGTGCGCCCCTTGGATCTATGGGTTACCTAAGATTCGAAAAGAAGACTGCACTCTGCGCCCTATCATTTCGTTCGCCGGATCCCAAGCGTACAACTTGTGCAAGTCTTTTTGGAACTGTTCACGCCGCTTACGAATGGGAAGTCGCTGTGGGTTATACACTCACAGGAATTTGTTGCCCCGTGCACGGCAGTTAGCACATGACGATGTAATGGCGTTTTTTATTATGGTCTGGTTATTTACAAATTTGGGTATTGGCGTGGTTATTGAAGTTGTAGACAACCATTTGAACGAGGATTGCACACTGGGGAGTCGCACGTTTTTGCTTGTTGGGAATATTGGAATATTGTTGCGATTTTTTAGATGCGGAGCATCTCTTGCTCGGGTCTATGTCCCGCGGCGTCGGCGTCGTAGTCCGCACTCACACTACGCATGCGCAACTCTCCTCCTTGCCTCTCTCCAACAGCTGCGCGTTACTCTCTCCGCTCTTCCTTTCTACCAGCTGCGTGCCCTTCGCGTGCGTTCGCTTCTACTCACACCGCGCACGCATGCGCAGCTCTCCTCCTCTAGTCTCCTCTCCTTCAAGTGTGAATATAAGCAGCGGTAGCGCTCTGCACGCGTTCAGTTCACCGCTGTTGACTTGCGTTGGTTACATGTCATCACACCACTCGCTGCAACACGTATCATACGACAACCGCAAACAACCGCCAACTACCATTCACGGCATTGATCACGTCTTCACCAATTTCAAGATCCACCCACTGCACCAAGATCCCCTCACGGTTCACTTCAGCGACCACAAAGCCATCCTCATCAAAGCAAAGTGCACACCTCAAGTACTAGACGCTGCTCAATAAAGACCTTCGTTAACCGTTTCACCTTCGTAAACGCAATTAAAAAAATTACACCATCTTCCCGAGGGGAACCATGGGGTGATGCGGAGCATCGCGGAGTTTCCAACAACGTTCACGCGATGTGTGGTAACGAACACATGTTAACAACGTAATAACACGCAAGTTAACAACGTTACTAACAACGTTACTAAGACCGTTAATATCATCGTTAATAACGATCCGCGATGCTCAGCGTCACCCCATGGTTCCCCTCGGGAAGATGGTGTATTTTTGAAGCAGACTTACTGTTCATGGTTTTCCAGCTACCTGGGAAACCGCCAGAATCATGTCAGTTTCTCAGATTGTTTGTCCGGGCCGTTTTTATTATTATCTGGTGTGCCCCAGGGCTCTAACCTTGGGCCGTTGTTATTTTTAGTGTTCATCAACGACTTGCCGTCGCAGGTGCTGCACTCCAAAGCATTATTGTACGCAGATGACTTGAAGCTGTTCAGGAGGGTAGAGAATGTACAGGATTGTCTGTTGTTACAAAACGACGTATGTTCAATTGAGCAGTGGTGCATAACAAATAGACTACAACTTAATCTCAAGAAGACTTCAGTCATGTCAACCAGCAGGAAACACGAGAGCATAGCGTTCAGGTACAACCTTTCCGGAGGGCACATAAAGCGTGTATCTCTTGTACGGGATCTTGGTGTTCAAGTGGACTCCAGGTTGTTTTTTCATCAACATGTGTCACAGATTGTTAATCAAGGCCTGCGATGTCTTGGTGCGGTGTCACGGATAACTAGAAAATTTAGAAGCCCTCATTGTGTTCTTTCTTTATGTTGTTCACTTGTCCGGCCGCGTTTAGAGTTCGCATCCGTAATATGGAACTCTCTCTCGGCTACAGCAATGTAATCGAAGAGGTACAGCGGAAATTTATTCGTATTGTATACGATAGGCACATTGGTCGTCGGCGTTTTTACAGCTATAGCTCGGTATTAGCAGACATAGGCCTCCAGTCTCTTCAGGACAGGAGGCTTGCACATGATATGAACTTTTTGAGAAAAGTTGTGCATGGCACTCTTGATTGCGACGAGTTGTTGTCATCATTGTGCTTCCGTGTCTCATCTGGGAAGGCGTGTAAATGTATTCACACATTTTATGCAGATATTCATTCAAAGTGTCCAATGACTCGGTTACAAGATACATACGATTCAATGTTTTTACAAGATGACATATTCACTTGACTTTATCTTAGTGTGCCCTTGGCAACCACTTTTATTTTTAACTAACTAGAATTTGATGACGCGTCAGACTGATTTCTATTGTGCTCCTCGGCAACCACACTGTCCTATGTAATACCCTTTTTATTGTTAACGCCACTGTGCGAAACATGACAAAGTGTACTGTCCTGTAGGCCTGACGGCTGTTGACCGGCACTAAATAAACTATCTATCTATCTATCTATCTATACATAACTTTTTCGAAAGCAGTTTATCGCCATATTCAGGGCTGTCCTATGGGAAGCCCAGTTTCTCTAACTGTGGCTAACTTGGTCATGGAACATGCAGAAACATTGGTGTTTAGCTTGCGTTTTTTCCCCTTGAAAATGTACTGCCACTATGAAGACGGCACTTTTTTTTATTTTGAAAAAGATGGACCTCCACGTCTTCAACCTCGCCCTCAACAGTGTTCACCTGTCATCCAGTTCACGTGTGAAACTGAGAAAGAGAGTGCTTTTGCTTTTCTCGATGTGCTGTCCTGCCAGGCCAGAAATGGGGTCATGAACAGAAGAGCGTGCCCTGTAACTGTGGTAAATATTTAGGCTTCCACTCCTATCATCCGACAGAGCAAAAGTGGGGCGTAGTGGCAATCTTTTAACGCAATAACGCTGAGCTCGTAACGCAGTAAAGACGGAGCCGGAGGCGTGACTTCGAAAATCTTGATTGGTCGATAGTGTAATGACGCCACAGCCACATGATCTCGACTGGGAATTTGAAACAACTCATGGCGCAAACATAACGTCACGCGTGGAATGAAAGTGGCTAAAATATAACATGTAATTCGAATTAAAGGTGGCCGCACGTCTGAAGGGATTTCACTCTATGAGGTAATTAATTTGCCTTAAAGAAAATCTTGAAGACGTTAGGCGGCATTCGTATCCACGACCCATCGGTTCCGAGCCTCACACACTGCTGACTAAGTCACGCAACGCACGCTTGCACGGCGAATGAGAAGGCAAAGCGAAAGGGGCCCGATAACACTATCGCGTTTCACTCTCAAAAGCGACGGTTAACCGTCCCTTAAGTTTCGTCTCAATGTGACCAACTTTCGTGAAATGATCACCTGCGATAGCAGGAATCGGCAGAGGTTATGAGCGTCCTGGAAAACCGCAATTACCCAAATGCCCTCCTAGAGGACATCCGGAAGCGCATCCAGAGTGGTAAAACCGACGGGGGGGGGGGGGGGGAAGACACAAATCTGTGCCGCCATTTTGTGCGTCAAGGGTGTATCAGACTCAATTAGAAGAGCTTTACATCTGCTGGGCACTTTAACTGTATAACTGTTTTACACTTTGCGTATTACGTTCGCTAAGCCAAAACACCTCACCCATCCGAGTTCCCAAAGTGGGGTTGTATACAGAGTGAGCTCTGGCGATAGCAGCGCCACTTCCATTGGAGAGACTGGGAGACAACGAAGCACCCGTCATTGAGAACAGACGTGGCCAACTAGACACACGCCACGGGGGCGAATCGGTCCTTGTTGTCCACTGCTGGACAACGGGCCATTCTTTTGTTTTGAACAATGCGGGGACCTTGCCATGTGAGCAGAGATGGGGGCCTCCTAAGTTCGTTAAGTCGTGATGTATATGCCATGCAGTGTTGCGGAGTTGCCACTCCGGAGTTGGAATTATTCCGGAATCATTCTGCATTTTCACAACCCCGGAATGGAATGGGAATGGAATTGCGGCAACGTTCAGGGGAATGGAATGGGAATGGAATTAGATGCCTTTTGCCCGGAATGGAATGGGAATGGAATGGGCCAGGTTCTTTATATATTTTTTATTTATTTATTTATCTATTTTTTACGTTCAGCTATACCGAGCCAGTCAGGGAGTCGGTTGTTCAGAAATAAAATGAGCAGGAAACTGCGAACCCGCGTAAATCCCTAGCAGACTTATGCGCAAAAGAAAAAAATGCAATACAAAAAACAAGCGTCAAAGCAAAGAACAGAGGGGGAGGGGAGGGGGGGGGGAGGCGGCGGTGGCGCCTTTCACCAGTGAAGTTCAACACATATCCGAATGCGTCTGCGCCTGTAATATTGCACGGCTGGTACGCCATCAGCCGACGTGAACGTGACCTGCTGCTCTGGTGATCCGATACCCAGGAAGGGGGCCAGACGTGGCCTCGCTGTGCGGACCCAGACTTCGTGCACTTTCCAATCGTCTCGAGCGCGCTGTCTCTCGAAGAGCTCGCACCTGTGCCGGCCATCTCAGGTCGCAATCTACGAGGTCTCTATTTGAATGATGCTAGGCGAAACTTGAAGACTGCCATTAATGCGTTGGAGGCGGAGAGTCGGCAGGAAAGACCGTCACAACAGGAATGCCACCATATCGATTTTTCAACCGTAACAGAAGATAATACATGTGCTTCAGGATGCTTCAGGTGGTACACTTTTCTCGAAAATTCCAAATGCAACTGCCTGCATGGTCTTCAACGAGGTCAGCTACAACGAAAGTATGTATTGTCCTTTGATACAGCAGCGTGGGTAAAGTTTCATGTTCAAGGCAACACCTACAGATTCAAGAATACTAGTTCGTCCCACCGTGACGTCATGTGATCAGTGCTGACAGGGGCGCCCTTATTGGACAGGGAAGTGGTGATGTTTTGATGGAATTGATTTTAGAGGTCGAAGTCTTTTCGCATCACTGGTCAGTCAGACAGGATGTCAGGGAAGGGACCGCGGTCAATCCTTGATGGAACGTTCTTTAAATCCATTTAGGACTCTTCGTCCGGAACCACTACCTTCAAGGCAAAGTGCCAAGCCTACGGAAAAGTAATTTCGGGACGAAAAAGAAAAAAAAAGAAAAAAAACTTCCACATAAACTTAAAGCCTCATCTCAGTTGGCGTCTCAAAGAAATTTGAAAAATGTATTGTATTATCAGTATTTATATTTCTGCACTCCCTAAAGTGTATTCTTGTATTTGTATTTCCGAAGACTTTTTGCCTCTTTATAAATGGTATTTCCGATACGTATCACGATACATTTTTATAGATATATTTGAGACTTGAGTATCAGTATCTTAGCAACTATTTTCATTTATCGCAATATTAGTATTTCCAAATACATTTCTGTATATTTCTGCCCACCCTGCAACGTAATGCAGCTGTCAAGCGACACTCTTAACGTTTAGGAATTGGAGGAATGGAATGGAGCGACTCAGCCATTCCAGGAGTGGGAACGGGCCCCGTGTCCCCATTCCTAGGAGTTGAAAGGAATGGAATTATCGAAAACTCTAATTCCCCGGAATGGAATTGGAATGGAATGGGGGTGCCCATTCCGCAACACTGATGCCATGCATACACGGCCTGCAATATCAACCGCGGGCTCGTGCCGGACGTGTACAGGGATATTTTAGAGTGATAGTCTGGTTCGCCCCCCCCCCCCCCCTTCGCAATGGCCAATGTATAGCGAAGACTCCACCCGTATAAATGGCAAGACGTCTGTGTTTTGTTATTTGTTTGCTGTGTTAAGCAGGAGTAAAGCTTTTTGAAATAGTACAATATGCAGTAGTGATCCACAACCAAGCTGATGCGAAACTCATTCAGATTGAAACGGGCAGGGGTGAGGATTGAACTTAGGGTCGCTGCTACTGCAGAGCGAGATTGCTCTCTACTTTCTCCGAGCTGCACTGCTCTAACGGATTCGACTACCGTTCAAATGGCCTCTGCCATTTGACTCCAGAACTTCAACGCTCCAGCCTTGCTATTAAGCAAATGTCACCCTAAAGAAGTCAAGAACAACAATGCGTTTTATCTACGTCGGTTTAATGACACTCAGCCTGTCCCCCTCAATGAGGAGTGCAGCCTTGACGTACAATGCTCTCCTTTTGCGACCGCGAAATTCGCCGTTCAGCATTTGTTTAACGAATGTTCCACCCCCTCCTTGGAAAAAATTAATAGCCAGAGTTTTCCTCCAATCCAGTTTTGCTGTTCATAAGCTATGCAAATGTAATTCAACGTTCGATATAGGCCTCTGGGAACTGGGTCAATCACAGAAGTATAAACAACTCTGGACTCTAAATATGGCCTGCGCCGAATTAAACAGTCAACCCGACTCTGGAATAACATATAAAAATTGACCTAGCATGCAATGAAGGACAACGCCGCATGATGCCTCAGTTGTTCCATTAGGAAAGACTTTAACTCCATAATACGTGTAGTGCCGGGAGGTGGTGAATCTGCTACCACACCTAATGTGCAAAATATCAAAGATAATCTGCACCGTTGGCACGCCGATGCCTGGAATTTCATATTCTGGGAGTCCTTGAAGTGTCCGTATTTTCTTCTCCTTGATAATAGAGCTTCCTACGTCAATTGATACGCCGCTTACAGGTAAATGTGCGGTGGTGAATAAGCTTTGAACTGACAATCAGACGTTAACAAGAAGCTCCAGAATTATGACCTTTCAGACACCAGGGTTTTTCAACCACCCTGTACGGGCGCATAGCTAATATAAAGTAGCTTGTAGTAAACTTTTTGTATTGGACATCCTGACAAGTCCGGGGAGCACTGCATCCATTTTTCGTGAATTGCGCGTGCGTTATATATTGTTGCACTTGGTTATGGGGAGCTTTGCGTGGTTGCACAACACACACGACAGTTTCATGTACCCTGGTTTTTATCAGGACAATCAGTAGAAGTTTAAATTTATTCAGAAGTAGAGTGTGTAAGTAGAATGCTGAAACAAAGCGTTACAAGAGGTGGATAGATGGATCTATAGTTTATTCAGTGCCTGTCAACAGCCGTGAGGCCTACTGGACAGTACACGTTGTCATCTACATGGTGGCTTGAATAGCAAAAACCGCACACAATATACTAGTTCCCAGGGACACAATAGAGTTAATATAACATGTCTCATGTAACAACACTCTCGTTGGCGAGTGCACATCGATATAAAAAGCCAATTGAAAATGTTACCATGCGAAAACATGGAATTGTATGTGTAATGTAACCGTGTCATTGAACTGTTTGATTGAATATGTGTATAAAACGTGTGATGACATTTACAGGTGTTCCCATATGAAACACGGAAGCACAGCGATAAGAACACATCATCACTGTAAAGGACATTCTGCACAACTTTTAATAAAATGTGATATCACGCGCAAGCCTCCAATCGTGAAGAGACTGAATAATCGGCCAAGATAGAACTAAGCTATAAAAACGGCGATAACCAATGTTTCTATCTTATATGATAGAAATAAACTTCCGCTGAACCTTTTCGATTACACTGTTACAGGTCAGAGAAACAGAGCCTCATATTACAGATAGAAACCCTAAACGTAGCCAGGCAAGAGAGCAATAAAGAGAGCAAGCGTAGCGAAGGCGTGGACATTTTTCCTTTTTTTTTTATTGCCGCGATATCGAGGCAAAACTACGCAATGCCTTTTTGGCTATGTGTAACACATGTTGGTGAAAATGTAGTCTGGAGTCCCATTAGACACAAAGGTCCTGTACAAGAGATGCGCGCCGTATCCGATCTCAAGAGAGGTTATAGTTGAACACTGCTCTCCTGTTTATTGGTGATTGACATGACCGCAGTTTTTTTTTCGATTAAGTTGCAGTAGTTTTGTTAAGTATGTGGAGCGTCGGAGATGAAATGCAGAAGACACGAAAGCTTATTCGCTTACAGGGTCAGAGGACAGAGGAGAGTCTCTGTTGTCCCCTGTCCCTGTAAGTATGTCTTCCTTCGAGTCTTCCCTATTTGTTAAGCACCACTGCTCAATAGAACACACGTTGTTCTGTAATAAAAGACAGTCATGCACATTACTTACAAACAATTTTAAGTCATGGGTGTCCAGTGATGTTTTTGTGTCTGCACCTGCGACGGCAAGTCGCTATTGATAACTAAAAACAACAACGGCCGAAGGCCTTAGGACACACCTTACAGGGATACGAACGCAACAGTCAAACAATCGGAAAACTTGATTTTGGTGGTTGTGCAAGTAGTTGGCAAAGCATGTTGGCCGTCCACTCACCGAGGCTGCAGAGCGGGCACCTGGCCGAGCGAGGGAAGTTCATGCAATGCTCGCCGTACTTGCCGAAGAAGTGGTCCGTCGGCGGAATGTCGAACGAGAAGCAGCGCGGAGAGCTGCGCGTCTCCGGGGAGCAGCAGTCGATCACATCATTCGGATCTACGATCAAAACACGTCGTGAAAGCTCTTGATTAGCGTTACTTCTACACGGTGGAGGCAACGTTAGGCACATCAACACTGATACAACCTCGAAGACAAGGCCTCCGCATGACGTCATACTCAGTGGATTCCCGACCCGCCCCAAGCGGCAAACACGCCGATGCTTCACAAGAGTTCGCCGCAAACTGGCCGCCGAGTACGTCAGGCGTCGCGCTTGTCTTTTGTGGGGCGCTGCAAGACGCCTTGACGGCAACGATGACGCTAGCTCGACGACCCTGCCTGGATCTACTGCGGCCGCTGACAGCTTAAAAAAGCCGTGACGGTCCCCATCATCTAACCATTGCTCTGCATATCATGAAATTGCACCCGATAGCAAGGCCGAAGAATGCATCACGGTGGCACCAAATAATTAGCCCCGCGTAGATTTCAGTGTCTATAGTGATTAAGGCTTAGGGAGATATTGTCTTGTCTTCTAGGCGGTATTGTATGAACGCATACGTTTATGTTTATACATGCAGACACAAAAGGGTGACGGGGCAAATGATCAGAACAGTATTTCTGAATCGCCTCTTGGGAAGAAAGTCGGGCTTTTCGGATTCGTTCTTCCGAGAGAGCAGCAATGATCATCTCAAGTTTATGTTGACATCGTTTACAGACAATAGTCTAGGCAGATTTTGACAATTATTTATTTCATAATTAGTTCCATGCCTTGAGAACTATTCGTGCGCTACGCTTAACATTTATGGCAATCGTTTACATAAAATGTTTTGCCAGGATTTTTCCTCGCCTTTTCTAAATAAAACAATCATCATTAAGACACAGGAGTCGAAGAAAGAATAAAAACACTTTGACTCCTGTATTTTCACCAACACGCTCTTTCATCTTTATCATTAAGACAATACTAGATGGATGTATATACACTATTTTGTCGTTTGCTTCCACTGAAAACATATAGCTCTAGATGAAATTAAAAAAATCTTATCTCTTCTATGAGAAAACAAAGTTGTTGAGTTTCAAGTGCTTCACGTCTTTCGTCAGTCATGGTGTGTCCGTTTAGAAGCGAATTGGAGCCGAAATCTGTGCCGACATGTGACTGGCACCACTATTAATTGCACAGGTCCTTAATGCAATCGGATCTGTGATCTCCCCTGGCGTGAATGGCGAGCATACAGCCTTCCCGCTATCGTTGAAACCTTCTTCAACAACAGGATTAGAATGTCGCGTTCCGACAAGAAACAACAAGAGCCAGTTGCCAGTTATCGCCAACTTGGGCCATCGTCCGGATGAGGCGCCCATTGACCCACCAGTCTTGTTTGAGCACCGAGGACCACGTGACCTTAACCAAGCCTACATAAGAGCGGAGAACTTGAGCATAGCGGGACTTGAAGCCCGATCACTCGCCGACATGCGGCTGACCCCACTGTCACCTACGCAGGATTGTATTCCGATCGTAAACTATTGTGTTTGTTGCCAGCTCGTTTCACGACAAGTGCTACTGCCCATTACCGCAAAGAAATCTGCTCTGAATGTCTCGCAAATACTTCCACCTTTTGGCGAACCGGGATTTCTACTTTATAATTTTTTTCATCTTACTTTTCGTTTATGTAGAGGTAAATCCTCGTACTGAGTAAAGAAATTTCAATGCTCATAGGTCTACAAATTGAGCCGGCAACGATCTTGAGCAAATTAGAGGCTACCCATACTGCATTTGTCAATCAAGAACCTATGGTGAATGATGTAAACAGGATGCTCTAAAAGCGCAGCTCTTAAGGCCCGTTCACACTCTTGCGACCTCTTAAACCTGGGTTCCTTAAAACTTCTTAAACCAGAGAACACACTAACGCCATCTATTAGGAAGCAGTGTAAACTCGGCGGTCCGGCATATTTTTTTTTTATTTCTCGCGCATTATCCTTTTTTTCTTGGCTCGAAAAACTTTTGTCAATGTTATAAACGAGCCTTTCTATGGGTATTACGCACATTTGACCTCGGAAATCCCGCAAAACCTTCACTCTTGTGAAATTCAGTTCCAGGGTCACCGCATAGATGGCGCCACAATGCCTGTGTGTTCCCTCATTCTGAAAATATTTAAGAAGTTTTAAGAGATATCGTCTCTCTCAGTCGTAATCGGTCGCAAGAGTGTGAACGGGCCTTTAGGACCCCATTTCCGTGTATCGCAGCGCCGGCGTAACCGCGCTAAAATTAGCGGGAAAATTGACGTCGCGTGAGATCGACACCAATTCAATTTCCCGCTAAATTTACCGGGGAAATTAAGTTTCTTCGCTACATACAGCAGACAACTTCGATTTCTCCGCTAGATTAAAGCGGGAAAATAGATGTCACGTGAACTCAAGAATAATTCAATTATCCACTGGGTGGTTTCATTTGAAATCGAACACACTTGTCGGGGTGGTTCTTTCGATTTTTTTTTTAATATATGTAATTTGCCCATTTCCGGAAAGAACAAAACCGCTTTTCAAAATTTGAAAAAAAAAAATATTTCGGTTCACAAGAATTATTGAGTGGAGCAAGATGAAAATCTGTTTTACTCCGTGATTTCCCTACCCAGTTATGTACGCTAGTATGAATACGGGGAGCATACAAAACTGAGTTTATTTGTACTCCTGTATGTTATTTCGACTATTTTTTAGTTCAGAGGAATATACTTTCGTATTTGTATTTATCAAGGTAAAAAATGCCAAACATCGTCTCTTTCACAATCCGGTGACATCTTCAGAGCCTTGTAGCTCATGAGTTATTATATTTGTCACTTATTAAATACTATGCGGGTGTAGCCACATACGTCGGCTATCGACGGGCATAAGTTTTTTTTTTTTATTTTCACTCAATTTTTTATACAAATATTTGAAATATCGTCGAAAATGAAATCAACCGATATTTTGAACCCACTTCATCTAAAAAGGCCATTTATTATTTCGCTCAGTTCTTTTACTATTGCTGCCGATAATATGAACTTTCAACTGGCTAGATGCGATGTCCCCCCATTTTTTTATATTTTTTTTGTATCTTTTTTAGAAGTGATCGAAATCGCTCCCACGTTCCCAGAACGGCCGAACGCCGTTTCCGCAGGTCGGCTTCGCTGCAAAGAATATAGTGCCTATTTGTGTGTTCAAATGCAGCGGGTAAATTCATTTCGATTGAGAGCACTCGTGCTTGGCTACATATTGTATTTTATTAATTCTTTTAATGATGGCAACTGACAATCCTCAGTCTGATAGTTAGCGGTGCAGCGTATGTTCCATTATCCGATGTCTAAAGCCAGGGCACAAACGGCGGAGAGAACGGAACGAGCTCTTAATGTAGCCAGACCGGGGTCATATATCTGTCTGTGTTATACACAGGTTGTAAGGCTTGAAGCACCTCGCCACAGTACACAATTTTCGTTCGCAGGACGGCTCCTTGATGCGGACGTCAAAGAAATTCGTTAAAAAAAAATTAAAACAATGACAAGAAGCGTTTAGCTTTTCGACTTACTGGAGAAATAAATCGATATATAGTCAGCAAGCACAAAAAAGAAGAATGGGCCTCAGTAGGTGCTCACATAGGATTACGCTCCTCACATGTGTGGTGCACAGTTCGCGAGCCGGGCCAGGAACCTAAGGTGACATTAGCAAGAGATTTACAGTATCCTGCAATATGAAAGACACATTCGCCGATGCTGTTTGTGCAGTGGTGGCAAGTCCGCCTTGGCCGGACGCGCTTTATTTTGAAGGTGAAAACAGAACAAACTGTTATTTATTCCCAGACCAAAGCAATGTGGGCGTAGGCAAAGCAAATCTACCGCAGCCCCCAAAAGCAAAATCGTCAAATCGATTTTCCACATTCCCGAAGGCTGTACAATCATTGCATTAGGTTCGGTGCGACAAAGTGGAGAAACTAAAAGTCTAGAGAGACATTAAGTGACTGCTTTCGCTGCCTTCTGTGCATGTGGGAAGCGTTGCTTCTTGGCACCAGAGATATCGATGAGTCTTGAACAAAACCCAACACTTTTCTTTTTAACTGCACAGACTCGTTCAAACAGGAGGGTCACCGTCTCGGGTTCACCGCTCGCTCGCTTTGGCTCCAGTTTTCGTTCTGTCCGTCTCGACTGACCACGCTGTTGAACCTCTCGGCCGCATCCGACTGCTGCGGTACAAAGTTCAGCTGGACCCCGCGCTCGGTCGTCTCCGTTCTCAAAAAGTTCCAATATTGCGTTGCTCGTGAACTGGACTACTTAAAGCACAACAACATATTGTTTTACGAGTGCATCCTAAATATATTAGAGTTAATTAATAAAACTGACTATTTATCGCTAATTGGTGTTTGTGTTCTGTAAAAGATTGTCTTCGCTTCATGTAAACTCAGTACGTTTTCCTCGCGTTTGTTCTGCAAACTGCTTTTCCTTTTTAAACAGCTACATCTGATATTACATATTTTTGATGTACACGATGACAATAAAGAACGCGCAATTACATGGTTCTTTGATCGCACGCGACAAAACACACCATGGATTGTTGTTTTTATTGTAACCGTTGAAAGTCATGGATTGGCGCCCCTGCCGGATGCTTCCTGGGTGTAAAGGAGATGGGCCTATAGCGCGAAGGGCCGGGCGTGCTGTGCGGGCCTTCAAGCTGTGTATAGCACAAACAGATATATGACCCCGGTCTGGCTAAAAGAAGAGCTCGTTCCGTTTTCTCCGCGCTTTGTGCCCTGGCTTTAGTCATCGGATAACGGAACATCCGCTGCACCACTAACTATCAGACTAAGGAGTGTCAGTTTCCATCATTAAAAATTAAGAAAAAAAAAACATGTAGCCAAGCACGAGTGTTCTCAATCGAAATGAATTTACCCGCTGCCTTCGAACACACAAATAAGCAGTATAGTCTTTGCAGCGAAGCCGACCTGTGGAAACTGCCTTTGGCCGTTGTGAGAACGTGGGAGCGATTTCGAACACTTCTAAAGAAGATACAACAACAAAAAAAAGGGGAGATCGCATCAAGCC